CTTTCAGACATAAGCAGATTTAACACAACTAAAGTAAAAAAAAAAAAGACAAAGATGAACACTTCATACTGGTCAGGGAAACAATATAATAAGATATTTCAATTCTAAATATTTATGCACCCAACTTATGTGCTCCTAGATTTATGAAATAGATGTTAATTGGTCTTAGCAATTTGAATTCATATAATATCATAATTGGTGGGGACTTTAACACCCATCTGTCAGAGATGGACAAATCCTCTAAACAAAAACTAAACAAAGATACAGGGAACATGACCCTAGAACAAATGTGCTTAATAGACATATAAAGTACACACCATTCCAAAGCTAAGGAATATATGTTCTTCTTGTCAGCCAGGAAACATTCGCCAAAATAGATCACACTGTAGGACACAAATCAAACCTCAACAAAATTTAAAGAATTGAAATTATACCTTCTAACTTCTCAGACCACAAGGTCATAAAGTGGAACTCAACCCCAACAAAAATTTTCATCCCCACACAAATGCATGGAAACTAAACAATCTTATGCTGAATGATAGTTGGGTCAAGGAATAGATAAAGGAAGAAATCATTAAATTTCTTGAGAACAACAACAAGCTACCAAAACCTGTCAGACACTGCAAAAGCAGTCCTAAAAGGGAAATTTATCACATTAGGTACATACATCTGGAAAACAGAAAGAGAGAACATCAACAATCTAATGAATCATCTTAAAGAAGTGGAAAAGATAGAGGAATCCAATCCCAAAAACATCAGAAGAAAAGAAATAATCAAAATTAAATCATAAATAAATGACATTGAAAATAAAAGAATCAAAATCCCAAAACTACAGATGTTGGTGTGGATGTGGAGAAAAGGGAACACTTCTGCACTGCTGGTGGGAGTGCAAGCTAATACGTCCCTTTTGGAAAGAAGTATGGAGAATACTCAGGGATGTAAAAGTAACCCTGCCATTTGATCCTGCAATTTCTCTACTAGGAGTATATCAGAAAGACCAAAAATCACTTTACAACAAAGATATTTGCATCAGATTGTTCATTGCAGCTCAATTCATAATAGCCAAGTCATGGAAGAAGCCCAAGTGCCCATTGACCCATGAATGGATTAATAAATTGTGGTATATGTATACCATGAAATATTATGCAGCCTTAAAAAAGATGGAGACTTTACCTCTTTTATGTTTACATGGATGGAGCTGGAACATATCCAACTTAGTAAAGTAGTATCTCAAGAATGGAAAAAAAATATCCAATGTACTCAATACTACTATGAAACCAATTTGCAATCACTCACACTTTCATATGAAGAATAGATTACAACTATGGCGCAGGATGAAGGAGGGAGGAAGGGGACATGGGAGGGGAGAGGGGAGGTCAGATTGAGGGATGGTGACTAGTAGGACCACACCTATGGTGTATAATGCAAGGGTACTTGTTGGATTTATTAAGTATAGAGTATAAGTGTCTTAACACAATAATTAAGTGAATGAGATGAGGTTTATATTAACCAGTGTGATGTAAACGCTCCTAATTCTATATGAAATCAGCACATTGTACCCCATATATGCAGTAATATATACATGATCTATGCATTGATGATTTAATAAAAATAAATAAATAAATAAAAATGAAATATATTTTTTCTCAAAAAAAATCTAAGTCAGAAAATAAAATAAAGAAAGAAAATTAATCAAACAAAATGTTGGTTCTTTGAAAAGACAAATACAATCAATAAACCCATTGGCCAGATTAACTAGAAACAGAAAAGTAAAATCTTTAATAACCTCAATCAGAAATGAAATGGGGGGGGGAATAACAACTGATATCACAGAGATATAAGAGATTATCTCTGCTACTACAAAAATCACTATGCCCAGGACTTTGACAGTGTGAAAGAAATGAAACAATACCTGGAATTACATCATCTCCATAGACTTAACCAGGAAGAAATACATCTCTTAAACAGACCAATATCAAGGACTAAGTTTAAAGAATCAACAAAAAAGTTTCCAACAAAATTAGCCTGGGATCAGATGGCTTCACATCAGAATTCTATCAAACCTTCAAAGAACAGCTTTTACCTACACTGTAGAACCTATTCCAAGACACTGAGAAGGAAGGACCCTTCCCCAATACATTCTATGAAGCAAACATTGCCCTGTTACCAAAACCAGGAAAGGACCCAACTAAAAAGAATCACAGACCAATTTCACTAATGAATATTGATGCAAAAACACTTAACAAAATCTTAGCTAATAGATGCAGCTACACATTAAAAAATTATACATCATGATCAAATAGTCTTCATCTCAGGGATGCAAGGCAGTTTAACATATGCAAATTCATAAATGTAATTCAGCATATCTATAGAAGCAAAAACAAAGACCATATGATCCTCTCAATGGATGCAGAATAAACATTTGATAAAGTCCAGCATCTTTTTCTAACCAGAACCCTTAAGAAAACAGGTATAGGTGGCACATTTCTAAAGCTGATTGACGCCATCTGGGACAAACCCACAGCTAATATCATACTGGATGGAGGAAAACTGAAAGCATTTCCACTTAGACCTGGAACCACCCAAGGATGTCCATGATTGCTACTATTATTCCACATAGTTCTGGAAGTTCTAGCCAATGCAAGCAGGCAAGACAAAGATGTAAATGGCATCCAGACATGGGCGGAGGTCAAACTCTCTCTCTTTGCTGATGATATGATCTTACACTTAGAAAACTCCAGAGACTGAACCACAAAACTCCTGGAAGTGATCAAGAAATATAGTAATGTCTTGGTATAAATCAATGCCCACAAACCAGTAGCTTTTGTATACCCAATAACAGCCCTATTGAGAAGCAAATCAAGGATACATTCCCTTCACAGTAGCTTCAAACAAACAAAATGAAACACTTAGAAATATTCCTAATAAAAGAGGTAAAGGATCTTTACAAAGAGAATTATGAAACCCCAAGAAAAGAAATAGCAGAAGATATTAACAAATGAAAGAACATACCATGCTCCAGGCTGAGAAGAATCAACATTATTAAAATGTCTATTCCACCAGAAGCAATCTATAGATTCCATGCAATCCCCATTAAAATACCAACATCATACTTTGAAAAACAGGGAAAAAAATGGTACTTCATGTTGTATGTGACCACAAAAAAACCTGTAGTGTAGCCAAAGCTATTCTTAGTAATAAAATAAAGCAAGAGGCATCACCCTACCAGACTTCAGGTTACATTTATTACAAGTCCACAATAAACAAAACACAATGATATTGACACAAAAGTAGAGACATAGACATATGGAATGGAATAGAAAACCAAGAGATGAAACCAGTCTCTAGTTGGCATATGATTTTTGGTAAATCCAACAAAAACATTCAGTAGGGAAAAGAATCCCTATCCAACAAAGGGTTCTGAAAGAACTGGATGACCACTTATAAAAGACTGAAACTGAGCCCACACCTTTTACCACTTACAAAAATTAACTCAACATGGATAAAATATTTAAGTCTGAGACAAGAAACAATAAAAGTCTTAGAAGAAAATGTGGGGACAACTCTTGAGGATGTCAGCCTGGGAAAAGATATTCTGACAAAGACTTCAGCAGCAATCACAACACGGAAAATAAACAAATGAGATTTAGTTAAACTGAAAAGCTTCTGCACAGAGAAGGCCACAACTAGTAAAGTAAAAAGACAACTTTTAGGATGGGAAAAGATATGTGCGTGGTATGAATCTGACAAAGGCTTGATAACTGGAATCTATAGAGAACGCAAAATAATCAACTAAAAAGGAGCAAACAATCTCATCTACCACTGGGCAAGAGATATGAACAGAATTTTCTCTGAGAAAGACAGATTAATGGCTAATAAACATATGAAAAATTCTCATAGTCTCTAATCATCAGAGAAATGCAAATCAAAACCACCCTGTGATATCACCTAACCTCTGTGATACTAGCCCACATCACAAAGTCTCAAAGCTGTTCCATATCTTTGTCAGAATGGATGTGGAGAGAAGGGAACACTTTGATACTGGTTGTGGGACTGCAAACTAGTACAATCTTTTTGGAAGGTAGTATGGAGAATCCTCAAGGAACTCAAATTAGATCTCCCATTTGATTCCACAATTCCACTACTAGGCATCTACTCAGAAGAAAAAAAAATCATTTTATCATAAGGACATTTGCACTAGATTGTTTATTGCAGCTCAATTTACAATCATCAAAATGTGGAAACAAGCTAAGTTTCCACCAACCCAGGAATGGATTAACAAACTGTGGTATATGTATATAGAGAATACTATTCAGCCATTAAAAAGGATGGAGACTTTACATCTTTTGTAGTAACCTGTATGAGGTTGAAACACATTCTTCTCAGTAAAGTATCCCAAGAATGGAGAAGCAAGAATCTAATGTACTCAATTATTAATACATAACCAGTAGACAATCTAATACATGCCTACATAAGAAAAAAAATCAAATCAATTCAAGGTGGGGGGCAGGGGAATGAGGGAGCAGAGAAAGGGGAGGACGGAAGGGGATGGTTGTGTTCCCACTTAATGGCCACATTAAGGTGTATGGCACACATCTTTGGGGTGGGACACGAATATAAGAAGGATTCTAGCTAACAAATGGAAACATTGTAACCTAATCCTTTGTACCCTCAAATTAACTTGATACAATAATTAAAAATAAATAAATAAATAAAAACTTATTGAAGATGGCAAATGGCCAACCTTCATTGTGAGTCAGAGGTGAGGTCAGGACCTCTGTCCCAGTGTTCTGGGGACAGCACAAGGAAAGGCGACATCTCCACAGTACTTAGGAAGATATGGGTAGTACTGCTGAGGTAGCTCGGGTGCTGCAGCTCATGGGGAGATGGAGGCTCACTGGGTGGAGCTGTCTGGAGACACTGCAGCTCAGGTAGGGGTTGTGGGGAGAACAGCTGGGAGAGGCAGTTTGCACCCCACACTCCTGTTTATTAAAACTCACCTATTGAGAAAGGCAGGAAGGCTTCCCTTTTCTTAAATTGTCCATTCTCTAGAAAATGCTCAGGATTGAATGTGTCCGGTGTGGCCCACTCCGCAGGGTCCCTGTGCAGTGCAGTCAGATTGGTCAAGACCATAGTGCCCTGGAGAAGGAGGCAAGACTCAGGCAAGGCTTAACTCATGCATCTCCCCAACACAGAGGGGCAGTGGGGCCTGGGCTTCCCTGCCGGGGCCTGACCCCAACCCACCCACATCTCCTGAGCCCACCCCAGGGCCTCCTCTTTGCAGGGACAACTGACAAATGGAACTGCATGTGCCTGCTGGGAACCCGACGTTTGCCTACTTTTGACTGCAGAGTCTATCTTTCCTACAGGGAAAGGTCAGTGTGGGTCTTGGGAGGGGACAGGTATGCATTGGGGAGAGAACACATGACCACTGCTCCATCCACCTTCTCCGTGTGGTGGTCTCCACGGCTATCCATGGAGCTGCACCTGGGTCCAGGGTGCCATTTGCCTGTTTCTCCTATTCTCTTCCCTCCAGGGTCTAGTGCACTGTCAATATTAGGTTCAGTGACAGCATCAGGTAGGCCAGTGAGGGGAGCTATGGCCCTCTCCATCCAGGGACATACTAAGACAGCCAGGATGCCCTGGTGTGAGCCTTTCTCTCACTGGCCTCCATCCAACCCGTCAGCCAGACTGGTCGAGTTTACGTTCAGTTTCTCCTGACTCTGTCACCTCAGTCCCATGTTCCCCACTGCAGCCTTAGTCTGGGCTGCCACTGTCCTGTAATGGCTCCTCCTCGCTGTGCCCCCTGCCACTCCTCTCAGTCTGCTCCGTGCCAAAAGCAGAGTGAATCTCCAGCATGACCTCTTCACGTCACCCCCACAAGGCTGATGCCTCAGACTCAAGACCTTTCAGCAGCTTCTCATCCCTCGCAGGGTGAAGCCTGGTCCCCTGGCCCCTGTCTGGGCCACTCTGCCCCTCTGCCTGTGCTCCTGCTACGGTGGCTTCTTTCACTCCTCAAACATGCCACATACCCTATCCTATCAATGCCTTTTAGATGCTATTTGCTGCACCAGGAAGGTTCTTCCTCTGAGTTTGTCAACAGCTCACTCCAAATCATCCTTTAACCCTGGGCCCAATTGTCCCCTCCTTCTGGAAGCCTTCCCTGCCCTCTCCTGCCTGTCTGCATCTTACAGACCCCAGTGAGGATTTTCTCCCGGGCAGTGGTCATGGTTTGTAACTATGCACTGGCATGATAATTGTATTCAGGGTTACTTTTCCAGACCAGAGCATTTTAGGTGCATAATGGATATTTGTTGAATTAATAAAGAAAAGTAACTGCCCTTGGGGCATTTTCTATAATAAGCACTAGTTAAATGCTCTATATGGATGATGTTGTTGTACAAACTCATATTATTTTTATATTATATTTTATATTTTTAATATTTTTATTTATATATGAACATGTAAAGAAATATTTTGTAGAGTCTATACTGAATATTTGGTAAATGAAAGTATATTTAGCCACAATTTCTCATTTCCCCTATTTATCGTGATTTTATGGGCAACTTTTGGGACATCAAGTAGTTAATTCAATGTCTCAGTTCCAGGATGGTTAAAAATCAGTGATAAAAGTCTGGGGAGCTGGGCTGGTTCCCTGGATATAAATGAATGGCTGGAAAACTGCAAACAGCATGTGGGGAATTTAGACCTCAGCTTTTTTCCACAAGGTGCCCAATCGGTAAGTGAATTGTAAAGGGACAGTAACCTAGTAATATCCATGGACAAGCTCTACCTCTGAGACCTTCCCTGGGCGGGACACATGTGGAGTAACTCAGAGAAAGTGAAGGAGGGTCCCAGAGGAGGGCCAGGTGGGGAGAAAGAGGGGCAGCACTGTAAATGGCAGTGTGAAGAGAGGACGCCAGGGGCACAGGAGAGCTGTCTGCTGCTAACACTGGCAGGTGGACTGAGATTAGAACTCTCTTTCTGAGGACAGGGAACTTAACAGGGACCACCCATGTTTCCCTGATAACATGCAAGGAAATGACTGTAAAGTAAAAAACCCTCAACTCCGTGGAGGGAGCAGGGTGCAGTACAAGTAATCAGAATAGCTCTGGTTCTGGATCCCCAGCTCTTATCACTATGGACTTGAGAGATGTCATGATAACTTAATTCATCAGAGCCTTGACTTCCCACTTCATAAAATGGGAATGAAAGAGTTATCTGAGAACTGAGTAGGACATTATGAAAGAGGTTAGTTCCACGGCACAGAATCACTGCCTGGTGTTTCCTCCTTTCCCTTCCTAATGACTAACACAGCACACAGTGGGATTGGCCTCCTCGTGAGATGACAAGTGCCCCGTCACGAGACTGTAAATGAAAGCTAGAGAAACACCTGTGGGATGTTGTGTTAGAAACACCTGCATTGATGTGATGTGGGCCCAGTATTCTTAAATGTCCTCTCACATTCCCACATTCTACAACCCCAGGACTGTGAGGCAGAATGTTTCCAAGGTCTGGCCCGGTCCCTAGTCCTGTGAGATGCTCTTCCAGGCAAAGAAAAGGCATCTGTGGCAAAAAGCTGCCTGGTGTGTGCCCACAGAGATTCATAACACACATTAATAAATAAAAATACTGACAAGCCACACGCCAAAGAAAAGCCAATCTTTGCCTGAACGTACTTGACCTAACAATCTTCCCTTCTTCACTCCCCACCAGACTTCTTAATATCTAGTTAAACTTATATTCTAAAAAACACACAGGAAGAGAAGGTAGCGTTACATATGGTGTAACACAGCTTCCCCTCCATTTATGTGACTTCTTAGGAAAAGATTACAGGTCACTTCCCTAGTTCCCATTTCCACCTTCTAAAAGAAGGGCTTGCAGATCTGAGCCTGGTAGTGCCTGGTTACCTTGGGCAGGTGGTATCCAGCCAAGGTGGTGTCAGCCGCCACTTCCCTGGGAACGTTCAGGGGGATGATGTTGCCCATCCTCTGCACCTCATGGATGACGGCGTTGGTGTAGGGCAGGGACTCCCGGGCAGCCACGCTTGGCAGCTGCTCCTGGCCAATCACTCTGTCAATCTCAGCGTGTACTTTCTCTACAAAAGAAGAGGTTCCATTACTTTTTAAACTTTTGTTTTTTCTTCTAATAATGTAGGAGTGTTTGCCAAGATCTTATCTGTTGTATTTCAATTTCTGACCAGATTGTAAAGAAATAAAATGGTTCTTCACCCTTCAAAGGCCTTTTGTCAAAAACTGCTAGTTCTATAACTCTCTATGAGCCTGGTTAGCTAAGGAGTGGAATAACCAGTTCAACAGGCTCACAGAAGGGTTTTGTCTCACTCTATTCAGGCTGCTAGAACAAAAGTGGTGATTACTCTTTAGATCAAGTCCTGAAAGGAAGGTACATGTTTCTCCTTTTCCCTTCCCACTGGTGGAAAGTCAGCCCCCTGGTAAGCCAACAGGGGCATCATTCTGGATACAACAGCAGGGGAAGAGGTTGCAACCCACAGGGCTTTGCAAAGTAAAGCTTAAGTTTTATTTATATATTTGTTTATTTTTTTACCTGAGTGAGAAATAAACATCTAATATTTTTAGTGTCAATTATTTACATTTTTTTAATTGAAGTAAAATGTACATAACATAAAATTTCACATCTTAGCCATTACTAGTGTACACACAATTCAGTAGTATTACGTTTATTCATGGTGTTGAGCAATCAGTCTCTAAACTTTTTGGTCTGGCACATCTGAAACTCTATATGCAAGAAAGAACTGCCCATTTCCCCCTCCCTCATCCTCTAGCCAGCATCATTCTATTTTCTGCTTCTACAAATGTCACCACTTCAGATAACTCATATAAGTAGAATCGTTCCGTAATTGTGTTTTTGTAAGCAGCCTTTTTAACTCCTCCTGACATGTGTCAGAAGTCCCTCCCACTTTAAGGCTGAATAACATGCCATCGCCTGTATCTGCCACATTTTGTTCATCCATTCTTCACCAGGGAACACTGGGCTGCTTCTCCTTCCTGGTATTGTAAATAACGTTGCTGCAAACATCAGCGTAAACTTCATTTCCATCCTCTGTTATCTTGGAGCTCTATTCCAGGAGCCAAATCTATACCCTAACTCAGGAGCTTTCACGCTTTAAAAAATGCAATGCACAGTAAGAAATGTGTTCTACACCAAGACTCGGATGTCTATACATAAATAACATACTGAAAGTACATGTGTAAAATCTATATATGAAGGAAATATAGTTTCATGAACAAACTTACTCTTAATACATGAGAAACACTCTGATATTTCTCTACTTACTTTAGGGGGAAAAGTTGATCTGGATATATAAAATTGATTTATGGCTCATTAATAAATGTTACCCAAATTCTGAAAAACTGTCATAACCATCCCCATCCCCTATGTGCTCAAACTGTTATGTAACCTGGAGGAGTAATGATGATGGGAACAGTCACTGTTCTTGGGTGGATTCCTGTCTGTAGAGAGCTACATGAACAATGTGTGATAAGCCCACTAATGGAGGTGAACTGAGTCATCCCTGGAGGATAAAAGTGCTAAAGAGGTGGAGACACATCTTAGGGAGGTAGATTTGAGCAGATTCTTCAGGAAGAGATGCAAGTTTACTGTGTAGAGAAATTGGGGAAGCACATTCTTGGCAGAGGGAAGAGCAGAGGTCATGACACAGAGGTACACACAAGGACAGAGCAAGGAAAATAACATGTAGGGTAGTGAGGCCTCTGTGGAGGGTGGGGTGTGACCAAGTCTAGACAGACAGAAGGGGCACCTTAGACTCCAGGGTCTGGCCATGACCCAGGAGGCAGTGGGAACCATTACTTAAAAGAAGGGAAGGGCACCACCAGATTTTCTCATGGGACTGGAACTCTTCCCTGGGACTTTCCAGGAACTTGATTTACTTCACCGTCTTCCCCCTTGACCTGAGCTTCTTCAAAACAGGATTTATCTATTATACATGTGTTACCTGAACCTACCCTAGACCTGGCAGATGGTGCAAAGAACGTGCCTGTTCCCACGTCCCCATCATCCCAGGACCCTTCTCCTCTCCTTCCATTCTGCCATGTTCTCGTCTGGCCCCAAATGTAGGCCTTGCACCCTGGGAGGCATCACTCTGTCCTGGGATGGGCACACACACTGACACACCCACCTTGGATGTCTGGGTAGAGGGCCATGTAAAGCAGCCCCCAGCGCAGGGTGGTAGAAGTTGTCTCGGTTCCAGCAAAGAAGAGGTCCAGAGTGCTCCAGATGAGATTCTCTTCATGGAAACTTGAGTTAGCATTGCTGGCATTCTAGGAAGGACAATATTTAATGCTATTTTTTGCTTTACTCAGATGATTCCCAGTTGCCATAACATGCAGGAGCTTCACCTTGGAAGGCATGTGGAAGGAAAGGTCTCAGAAGAAACAACTTCCCTTCGGCCTCCCCATGAGCTGGAGGCTTATTACAGGATCACCACTAGCATTGTCCTGCCCCAAGTGCTAGAAGCTTTTTGGGAGGATGAAAATTAAAGGCAAAGATTTTCTTATGCCTATAATTTGGGAGAAGCCATTAGTCCAGTGGGAGGAAAATGGGCTATGACTAAGATAAATTTGGCTTCAATATCGGCCACTTCACTTAGCAGCTCTAGAAGTTAAGGTGAGTCACCTGACACAGTAACTGCCAGAAGAGTTGTATTTAATGTGCACTAATTTCCATCCCAAAGCCTCATGAAGCATATATAACTCACATGTCTCTACCTCAGGAGCCACATAATAAAACACCATGACCTCAACAGGAAAGTGTTTTTTTGTTTTTTTTTTTTTTTTTCCCAGTGCTGCAGTCAATGTATTAATCTTCCTGTGTTCTGGTTTCCAATTTTATAAAATGAAAATAACCATGCACACCTCAAGATGACTATCTGAATTACATGAGAAGTCTGAATTACATGACTGTCTGAATTACAAGGGCACACAGCAAGCACTCAACATATGTTTGTACTGAAAACACAAAGAATAAATGCAATTCCTTTTATGACAAACAATTCTCCTTTCTCCTCACTAATCTTTTCCTTCCAATTGAACCATTCTGATTCCACAACCATTCCTTATGCCACCCCACCATCTGTATCGTGCTCCTTGGAAGCTTCCATTTGTCCCACTTACTCGTGGTATCCATGGTCTCACACCTGGACACCATCAAGCACGTGTGGTCTCCTCCTCTGGGGAGAGGAAAATGCCCCCTGATAATGTTATTCCTGTAGGTGAAACAAGTGGGAACGGAATCCATCATTCTGCCCATCCCACTAGAATGGCTCAAAAATTGATGTTGGTAAAGATTATGTCACTCTTCAGTGATGTGTATTAGCCAGAGGGCTGCAGACAAGGGCATGTGTCCATTTTGCCCCCTCTTTCCAGGCTTCTGGCCTATAACATTGAAAATGGTGGTATGGGGTACAGGGGAAGGCACAGCTCCTTGTGTTCTACAGTGGAGATGGGAGCAGGGCAGGTCATTGGTTCCAGGCCCATGAGTGATAAAACAGAGGTTGGAGGTGCAGTTGCTGTTTTCCTCATGTGCACAGGCACATCAGGTCAGATGTATATAGAGGGGAGATGATGGGGATCGAAAGGAAGTATTGTGCATACACAATAATCCCATCTTTCCTTCTAATTTGCTCCATCAATCCTGAGTTAATATTGCCATACATGTTCTGAAATAGTGTCCCTTTGACTTCCCTGTGACAGGCTGATAAATGGTGCACAAACCTGTCCATCTACATGTCTTCCCCCGGCACCTTGGATGTTAACTTATGTTAACTTATGTGGCAAAAGGGAATTTGCAGATGAGATTAAGTCAAAAATTCTGAGATTGGAACTTTATTTTGGATTATCCCACTGGCCCAGTGTCATCACAAGGGTCTTTATAAGAGAGAGACAAGAGCATCAAAGCCAGAGAGAGAGATGTAAGGATAGAGCAGAGATCACAGGGGACAGAGGGAGGCTGTGCTGCTAGCTTCAAAGATGGAGGATGGGGCCACAAGCCAAGGAATATAGGCAGCCTCTCAAAGCCAGGCAAGTCACAAGAATAAAGTCTTGTCTGACGCCTCCAAAAGGAGCAAGCCCAGCCAACACCTTAACTTTAGCCCTGTGAGACTGATCTCAGACTTCCCATATCCAGGACTATAGGAGAAAAAGTTTCTGCTATTTCAAGTTTGTGGTAATTCATTACAACAGCAGTTAGAAACTAACACAACCCTATTTTCTCTTTAAGAACAAAACATAGGAAACAACTCTGGTGTCCTCACCTTGCTGATTTCTTTGAGATAAGCATCTATGAAGTCTCTTGTTTCATCAGGGTTCCAATCTCTCTTATGGTTTTCAATGATATGAGCAACAAACAATTTTAGTTTTTCCCAGTTTCTGAAGACAGTTGTGTGGGAACCGGGAAGGAACTTCATTATCCATGGAAAGATATTGTAGAGCTGATTGAGGAAAACAGAACAATCATGGACACAATGTGGCCCTACTTTCCCCCCCATTTAACACAGTAGAAGCCAATCTCTTGCCCCTTCTCTTTTATTCACTCATTGAAACCTCAATCATCCTTGACCCCATTTTTCTCTCACTCCTCTAGCTAGGCACTTTCACTTTCTGTGAAAAATACATCCAGCCACTTTTGGCCATTACAACAGAATTCCATCCTGGTACAAACTACCACCATTTCTTCCCAGGTTGCTGTAAGAAGACTTTTACGCACACAGTCTTGTGATTCCATCGCCAACCCCAGTCACAGCCTATCTTCCCCAGTGCTAACAGAGGGATCAATGAACAGTTTAACCAAGTCTTTCCATTCCTTGGCTCTCAATTCTCTGGAGTCTGTCCACAGCAAAGAATAAAGCACTATGTTACTCCTCTGACATATGAGCCCTGTTCACCACCTCCTTCTTAACCTTGCCCTCTTCTGTTCAGCACTGACCTCTGGGATCACAGCAAGGACAGTCCTGTTTCAGGCCTATAAAGCTGCTATTCTCTCTGCCTAGAAAGCTCTTCTCTGACGTCCACATAGCCCAGCCCCTCACTTCATTAGGGCTGTGCTCTATGTCACCTCCTTGGAGCTACCTGATTGATGATCCTGTAAGTGGCAGCTCTTCTGTCACCCTCCATCTATTCTCTTATCCAGTTTTGTTTTCTGTCACAGCAATTATCACTAATGAGTGTCTGTATGTGTGTTACTGTGTATGTGTATGTGTGTGTGAGTGTGTGCGTTTGTCACTCGCAACCATGTGTGGTGTGATCGATCTCCATGTGGGTAAGACTTCACATTTTTCATGGAAATAAAATGGTTATTGAAAAATTTATCTCTAATATCTTGTAGAAAGTAGAGAGAATAACATAATGGGAAAATACCTACACTTAAATTGAGATGGACATGGGTGTAAGTACGAGGGTATTTGCCTGTATGTATTTGGAGAACATCCTCCTACATAAAATATCATGAAAACAGAAAGCAAGTATTCCATGTACTCAGTATTAATTTGAAAGTAGTAGATGAACAACTGTAGGCCCACACAAGAAAAAAATGCAATTAAATTCAAGAAGGGAGAGCAGAGGAGGAGGCTAAGTTTCCACCTGTTGGATACAACATAGGGTTGTATCCTAAAAGGATATAGGGGCATATGGCATACCTTCTGGGTGAAGGACTTGGTGTCTGACATCTGCCCCAATATCCTTTTACCCAAGATATCCAAAAGAAAGAGAGCTGCATTACCTGGCTTGCCACTGAAGCCTCCATGTATGTGGCCTCATCCAGTAACCTCAGCAGCTCCTGAAACTCACCATCCTGGTACTCAAATCGCTTCCCAAAGGTGATGGAGCAAATGACATTGGAAACTGCATTGTTGATTTTGAAGTGAGGGTCAAAAGGCTGTCCTGGATGGGGAGGAAGAACAAGATGAATCCTTCTGATAGGATACTTTCTAGTGCCTACAGACAGTCTCCTCTCTAGGACATGGGACATACCTAGTACAGAACCATTTTTGAGACCTGGCCACACCACCTCACACTGGGTTTGCCATACAGCAAATAGTCAATGACACAGGCAAACCCATAATCAGGGTTTAAATTCAGGAATGTGTTCACTGCCCATCTCCATGTGTTTAATTCTAGAACTCCTTCAGAGCAGGATCACTTGGTTTTTGCCTGTTCTATCCTCACCAGTTAGCATAGTCCTAGGCACAGAATAAGCATTTAGGCATTGTATAAATATCCTTCTAATGAATGAATGGGCACAATCTCCTACGTCCCTCCCAGAGATGCTCACCGTTCTCCTCTTTTACTGCCTCAACGAGGTGGTAGGCCTCCTCCTGAATGCGTTCCTCTAAGCTCTTCCTCCCTAAGCCAAAGTTCCTCAGTGCCGTCAGGGCGAACCTTCTTTGCTCCTTCCATACCTGGCCATTGGACATGATCAATCCTGGGAAGAGAAAGTCAGGATGATGGTATTCTGCTTCAGTAATGTGAACATCCAGCAAATGGTATGAGGATGTGTGTCAGACAGAGGGAAGAGGAAGGGAATGAAGGCCCCTGAAAACTGCTCAGAGCAATCACCCCAAAGCAGTGGACATAAATGATGTCTCTGCATTTTATAGACTTCAGCAAATATTTTTATGCATTCTGTAATTCAGTACTCACAGAAATTTTATGGGTAGATACAATTATTACCACTCCCTCAATTTTATTAATGAGAAAACTGAGGAATAGAGGATAAAGTAGACTTTATAAGACCACACAATTAATGAAAAGCTAAACTGGTATTCAAACTCAGGCCTGCCTATTCTAAAGTCCATACTTTGAATATTAGCCACCTAAGTAAAGTTAAGTATTTACATTATGCTGATGCTAGGAATGCACGTATGGATAACATAAAGTCTATACACATAAAGAGGTAGATAAAAGCTTTGGAGGAGAGTTCCTGTCTATGTCAAACATTAAAAGATGAAGGAATAACTCAAGAAAGAAAGGAGGAGAAAATATTCCATACAGAAAAACAATACTGGCAAATGGGAAAGAAAATCGTGCTGTGCTCCACAGACCATATCACAGGTAATGCCAAGCTCCTTTCCTTGTCTTCACCTCCAGAGCACTGCTCACCTCCTTTGACACCTGGCTTTGGCCTCCATCAACCAGTGAAATGGCCCTTCTTGCTGTCAAGTTCAGGAACAACTTTTAACCTCATCTTACTAGATCCTTCAGTAGCATTAGATACTTCTTTCTGGAAACACTCCCTTCCAGGGGTCCTAAGGATACCACACTGTCCAGATTTTCTTCCTAATTCTCTGCCAGCAACTTCCCATATCTTCTGCTGGTTCATCTTCTTCTGTTAACTATTGAAATTGTGGAGGTGTTCAAACTTAGGTCTATACCTTTCCTCTTCTCATACTACATTCCATTTCTGGGAAATCTTATCCCTCTCTAAAATTTAAAATAGCATCTCTTGATAGTGACCATGTATTTCTGTCTCTGAGCTCTAGACTTGTACATATTATTATAAAATCTGCCTGATTTTGGAGACATAAGGCATTCTGAACTGGTCATGTCCATACTTGACCTCATGGTTTTCTCTGCGCCCACTTCCAACCACAGAAAATATCTTGTGCTTTCCTCAGTGTTCCTTCTTTCCATCATCCACCTCTTTGGGTGTCATCTCCATACCTCATTCTGTCAGGGGTGTCCAACCTGTGGCCCATGGGCCACAGTTGATTTTGTGTCAGATACCACGAAAAATGTGTGCAGACTTTTTCTTTGCTCATCAGCTTTCATTACTATTTGTGTACTTAATTTATGGCCCAAGACAACTCTTCTTCTAATGTGTGGCAAAGAAAACAATAGGTTGGATGACCCTGACTAGGTCCTCATGCCTTACCTGGTTTGCCTCCTGGCTGTCTGGAATCCATATATCTCCACTGCCATTATCTTGGTGCAACCTACTATGATATCTCACCATCCCCTCAGTCTAATCTCCCAGCTTCTCTAACATAAAAAGTTATCCAAGTCTCTTACTCTTGTTACCCTATTCACTAAATGGTAGCCTAAGTGAGTCTTAAAAATGTACAGTGTAAATATGAAAATTCCATTCAAAAACTTCTGTTGTTATGTGGACGAAAACCAACATCCCTAAGAAGAACTTGATGCATTACTCCTTGCCAAGTGTAGCAGCTTCATTTTCACTTATCTTCTTTTAATCCCTGGAGTTGCCACATAGGCTACCTTACAAAACCTCAAGGTTGCTGTCCATGGATTTCTTATATTCATTCCCACTGCTTGAAGTTTCTTTATTAAATTGGCTTTGCCTGAATCTCAGAACTTTATTAGATAACTCTCAGAAGTGCATCCTGCATTTGTTTTCCCGACACTATGGGATTTGAATTGTTACAGTTAATTGATACTGCCTTTCTCTCTGAATACAAGTTATAGGGGGATGTAGATTTCTGTTCTACTCACTGTCATATCAGCTTCACATGGTGGATAATACAGTGAGTAGACATAGAATTGATCAATGTTTTATAAATGAACTGGGAAACACCTAAAATTTGGTGCTCTGACACAGGATTAGATCTAATTAATATTTCATTTCAGTTTTTAAAGGTTTAAGTATTTTTAAAGATGATTTTAAGTTCTCGTGCCAACCTAACCTACCACATGTGGTCTGATAATTAATTTCACAAACTCATCCTAGAAAAAATGTTACCTACCTCACTGGTGAGCTTCACTTCATGGGACTCCCATTGGGCAGCTATGACCCAGCACCAGGACCCCACCAACCTTCAAAGCAATTTTGGAACTCTTTTTCTGGAATGATCATTACAGCTATCATTTTATGAGGTCAGACAATTAAATTTGTGAACTCATCCTTGAAAAAGTTTACATACCTCATTGCTGAATAGCACTATAGTCAGTAGACGGCCAAGGGAAGGACTTCCAAGGTGAGCACAGTGTTATTCAGGAGTGAGATATGTAGCATTTTTTCTAGGATGAGTTTGCAAACTTAATCGTCAGACCTCACCTGTGAATCACAAGGTCAGAGATCCCCGATGCAGCACAGCCTTCATGAGGAACATGAGGAGCAGGAGACAAGAGCAGCAGTAGAAGGGAGCAGATCCACACCCACTTTCCCAGGGAGGGGCTTCAGGGGAAGCAGGATCAGAGGACACATCTCCTTTCCCTGGGTGGTGATGGGTTGGCACGGTCACTCCATTAGAAGAGCGGCTGGTATGAGTTTGTGCAGGACATGTGGTTTCTAAATATCTAATAGAGCTGGTCCTTTCAGGCCCTCTGAGGGGGTGACTTCAATCAGGAAATGTGGGCATCCACCTTGTGTTACTATCAGGATTTTTATAAGTGGATCAGTTTGGGGGTGTTGGAAAATTATATTCACAAGGGCACCTCTAACAGACCACAAGAACATGAAACACACACCTTCCATTGATCCAGACACTCACCATGTCCCTTAATGATACGTTCTCGCACAGGAAAAACAGGGCGGTTTGCAAAGTTTTGGTCCTTATGAATGAAGGCTTCTCTGATCAAGGGCAATCCAGTAATAACAACTGAAGATACATTTCTGAATTCAAAGTTAACAATGTTCCCATATTTCTTCACAAACTGAAAAACAGTTAAGTAGTCACAGCTGAATACACACACACCTGAGTGTTCAGAAATGGAGGGGTGTGAAGTTGGAGGGACTATTTTTGAGGGGAGTGTTGTGTGTCTGTGTGTTTGTGTGTGTGCACATTGGTCAGATGAAAATGCTTTTGTTTCCCTTTCCCTTCCTCTCAACAAGGCTGAGAGTCAAATCACTTTAGGATGAGCAAGGTCCCTTATAAAACATCCATTCATATATTTAACACCATGAATGGAGCGAGCATCCACCACGGGCCCCAGAGCAGGGCATGAGGATGTAACTGTAGTAAAATAAACAGGGTGTCTAACCTCACGCATCCTGGAGTCCAGGGAAGAGAGAGAATTCAGCTCATGTGAACCCCCAAAGAAGGCTGAGATAAATGTAGTGTAAGTCTCTGTAGCAGCCTGGACTTCTGAGCAAATGATAAAATCTGTTTAACCACAAGAGATTGTCCCCTTCCTACTGTGGGCACAGGCAACAGAAACACATGCGGGACACAGGAAGGTCCATCCCAGGGCAGGACCAGCACTGAGAGAGCCCTCCAGCTCTGGGGTGATGGGGAGATTTCGGCTTTCAGTCACTGGGGGCTTCTGGGAACTTGTTTCACTTTGTTGAGTCTCAGCTCCCCTCCCTCAAAGCATCCTGTGAGGAAGCATGACAGCAGCAATGTGAAAGCCACTTTGTTTTCTGGCCTATGTGTGTTTTGAAGGAAGGAACAAGCTTTACGTGGGAAGGGCTACAAACATGCGCTCATGGTGGCAGAAGGAACAAGTGCTCACTGATGTACAGGAACAAACTACTTGGAGTCATAGAAAGGCACATTCCCTATGTGACCACCTATGGTAGCAGTGACTTTCCTCTTCTTGCAGAAAGTGAAAATGAGTCAGAGTTGAAGCAATACAAGCGAGATGACAAAGCTGTTGAGTGGTGCAGGGAGTTTGCCAGGCATTACATAAGACTTGAGGACAGAGACATGAGCCTGAGATGGCTCTGGGACCTGAAAGTTTAGGGAGAGTGAGAATGAGAAGAGAGCTGGGTGGGAGGAGAAAGGAGGGAACAGGAGTGTGTTTGTGTGGTCAGGAACATGCACATGTGTGCAGGGATGTGCCACCATATGTCAGAGGGCAGAGCACAGTCACTGGTCAAAGTCTCTCCTATCTAATCAGTCCTTCCTATCTAGTCAGGACTGGTCAAAGTCCCTCCTATCAAACTAGGCAGGCAAAGGTTCCAACCCAGTCCTGCCTTCTGCCTGCCTGGACTGAGTCTAGCTGTGGGCATGGTATCAAACAAAAGGGCTCCACTTCCTCCAGGTGTCTTTGACTCCTTCTCTGTCCTCATCCCCTGTGCTTACCCTCCAACATGTCACTCTTACAGACCTGGACCTATATCCCCCACCAGGGCAAACAGTATGGGCTCAGTCTAGTCCCCCCACCCTCCTCCCACACTGAAGACTGGACTGAATTTAGCCTCTTGCCCAGCCTACATCAGTCTGTTAGACATCAGAGTGTGTGTATAATCCTAACAGACAGGAATCATTCTACATTTCTACATTCTACATTTCTGTAAGGTTTAACATCTTATCCTCAATATTATAGTTTATATATGCTATACTTTAGTCTCTTGCTTAGCCTCCCTTATCAGTTTGTTTATCTTCGGCACAGCATGACCTGTCTCACTAGGGCCAAGCTTCAAATCAGTCTGACTACAAAGTACGCGTCTTTACTTCCAAGAAATGCGGTAATGAGTCCATCCACATCAATTTTTTAATTCACCTTGCTGAATTCCTCTATATACTGCTTAGGCCTATCATAAGGGATTAATATACAATATTCTATAAGGTTGATTTAGAAGAGCTGAAAAATGTCCAGTTAAGGTAGATGCTCCTAACTGGCCATCTGCACAGTCTAGAATCTCTGATTGCATTGGGGAGGGATTCAGAACTCCATTACCCTTTTCTGAAATAAACATCTTTGGAGTTCTGGCTCTATCTGATGTTGTATATTTCTAGATCATCAAAAGTGGATGAACACTTAAGAAAATTGGTATAGAGGGGACATTTCTTAAACTGATAGAGGCCATCTACAGCAAACCCACAGCCAATATTGTATTGAATTGACTTAAATTGAAATCATTTCCACTCAGATCAGGAACCAGGTAAGGTTGCCCATTGTTTCCACTGCTCTTTAACATTGTAATGGAAGTTTTAGCCATCACAATTAGGCAAGAAAAGGTGATCAAGGGTATCCATATAGGGTCAGCATATGTCGATGCAAAGGTGAATATGTAGGTGACCAGGAGCAACAGAGCTGTCCTGTCTGACCAGAGAGCAGGTTCATTAGTCAAAGAGCACTGACCATGGAGTGCACCAAGGTCAGGATCCTGGGGGGTCTGCTAAGTCCTTCAGTAGAAGAAGTTGGAAATCTAATGGAGCAAACAGCTGCATAATCAGTTCTATTATTACCATCTGTACAATAAATTATTTGATGGAGGGAAGTTTAGGAAGCACACAGGGGACCAGATTCAAGGGCAGGCTCCTGGGAGGTGTCTTCTCAGTAGACAAAGAAGATGGGGGACAAGTCGGCAAGGTAATCTGAGCTAGACTGAGGAGAATCTTGTCAGGGGAAATATTTTGGATTCTTTTGGCTTACAGTTAGAAGTCTGAAGATGTCTGAGGAGGAGAGGCTTAAGAGTTTGGATCATGGAGTCCTATAAGCCTGTTTGAATCCAGATTCTGCTTCTCACTTTCTGTTTGATTTGGGGGCAAATTATTTAACTTTCTTTGTCTTAGCTTTCAAATCTATAAAACTGCAGATATTATTAGTTCCTATAATTAGTGTTGTGGTGATAAGTAACCATAACACTAAAGTCAATAATAAAAGTTTTATTATTATTACTGATATTTTAGGGAGTGCAGTTTTTGTAGAAAGACTCTCGGAATGGTATCAGTGAAGGAGTGGAGAGGCAGAGAGCAGACAGTCCACTAATGTGGCCCATGCAGTAGCTAGGTAGAGTAAATGAGGCAGGGAAGGTATCCAACAGCTGGCTTTTCTTGAGTTTTTTTATATAAACTTTTAAAGGCGGGGGGGGCAGAGTGGAAAATAGAGAATCAAGCCATCAACTCTGTGCTAAGCATTCTGAAAGTCGCTTGATATTCATTGACTTATTTTATTTTTATTATAATCCTATGAAGAATTCCTAGTTGTCAGAAAAACAGGTAAAGAGATTTTAGCTCATAGGCAGTGAGCATAAAGTTTGGGCTCTTTGCAACACATTCCATAGGTCTCATCCTTAAGTGAAAAGACAGACCCTTTCTTCTCCCTTCTTCTGTGTTTTGATGGAGCTCCCTAAGTATCAGTCGGCCACACTGTCCAGCCTGCATGGTTGTGGCCAGTGGGACACAGGAGTAGTTATAGGTGCACTACCTCTCCTCTCCCCTTCTCATGGGCGGGAACTCATACATGACGGTGTTGGCAGTGGACCACAGCAATAGAGATAGAAGGAACTGGAGGTTGTAGGTGACACTGTGGTACAAAGAAGCCTCCCTATCCTGAACTTCTAATCCTAACTCTGAACTCATCTGTAAGACAAATAACCAGTCTTGTTCATATCACTGTATTTGGGGGTCACTTTGTGACTTTATCAATTTTATTCTCCCACCTTAGTCTGATGAGATTCTCTCCCATATAAATAAGTATTCTTACCATAAGCCATATAGGTATAGCAGGGAAAGTTTACAGCTTGGGGTGGGGTGGGAGGTGGGGGCGAAGTTCCCATAATTCCACACAGATAGACCAGTCTCTTCACTGTCCTCTCACTGTGTTCCCCCCTTTTAAAATCTCCTGTACTTTTACTCTACTTAGGTACTTGCGAAACATCAAATATTCCTTTAAAGTTCAGTTCAATTTACTCCAACATCCTACAGAACGTATTCCCAGGGTTTCCCCTTTATAGGAATCCCATCTCCTGATATCCCATATGGTTGCCAAGTATGTACACCACACATTTCCTCATACCGTGTTTTGTATGGTGCCTGGCATATGGTGAAAACTTCATAAGAGTCTGTTGAAGGAATGAACCTGTGAATAAATCAGTTGTCTTCAAACTGTATCATGAAAAGTCAAATAAACTTGGGTTCAAGTTCTTGTTTTGCCATTATTTAGCTGAACACTAAAATCTTGTTTTGCCATTATTTAGCTGAACCCGAAAAATCACTTTGCGGTTTGTCCTTAGCCAGAATTCCATAGTAAAATGGAAATGCCATAAGGTAGTCTGTAACTTTTGTGCCTATCAATGAGATTAAATAAGAATTAACACAAAAATTCTGATGATGCAAGATCTATTAGGCAGTCATGTAACACCTAATGTTTTTCAATCCCCCAAAATGTACATTTAATTATAATGAAATGACTCCCTTTAATTGCATGTTTTTTGCCCCCAGATTTATAGAAATGTAAACCTAAATAAATAAAAATAAACACTGTGATGACAAGTCCCTGGGCCAGCAGTGAGAACCTAGTTTCAGTTTCATCACCAGCTCATTCTGTGACATTAGGGGAAGGATTTAACCTCATATCTAGTATAGCAAGGGCACAGATCAAACTTCTTAATTCAGACAAGACTGAGTAAAATCATCCGTTTTACTTCTAATCTTTCTGCTAATCATGAGTAATAGAAACCAGAACAACTCCTAGAAAAGCCTTCTCACTCCAGCCAAAAGGCAGGAAGAGGACAGCCTGACAGGACAGGAACTTTTAGCCTTCTCACCTTTCAGTGCCTGGGAAAACACCAAAAAAGATGCGACCTTCCTCAGCTCTAAAGGGTGTGTAGACACTTGTGTAAAGTGCCCCAGGCATGTGTAGGGAAGAGGGAGCTAATACCCGTGTGCACCAACTATGAGCCCGGTCAATATGGACCACTCACTGTTTTATTTAACCTTTATACCACCTGTCACAGTGCTGACTCTCAGCAGAGAGACCTGTGCTGAGTGGCACCAACACCAGCTGAAGGTTCTTAAGAAATTGTTGTGTCTGGGAGAACTCTAAAGAATTCAGAGCGGCCAGGGTTAGGGAGCGCTGACAGGAGATAATTAAAAGTGTTCAGGTCGAGAAGGGTCCCAGGTGAGCACTGGGAGGCAGTGGGAGGCGCTGGGACAATTCAAGCAGAGGAATGACATTTCTAAATTATGACTCTAGGGGAGAGCAGTGCAGGGAGGAGGCTGAAGGCAGGGGCTGTGTCAGTGTGGAGGGAGAGCGACCCAGGTGAGAAATGATGAGGACTCAGGCAGCGTTACACGGTTTTACGAATGGGCAATGAGCCTTCCTAGAGTTATAGCATTTTTGCGGATACCATGAAAGAGGTCAAGGCAGTCAGAGCATAAATTAGACGTTCCAATACTGCTTAGCAGATAACATGCAATGAACTGAGTTAAGGCACTTAACATGCCTGGTACTCTTAATAATATCCCACCCCTAGGAAGTGCAGTTTACGCCATAGTAAGGAGGCTCCAAGTGGGGGTTACCTGCTTACAAGCATGAGCCACCCTGTCCCACCGCCACCTCGCTCCCGGGAGTCCCTCGTTATCACTTCGCCCTCTCCTACCCGCTGAACTCTCAGATGCGACTGCTCAAAGCCAAGGTGGAAGAAGTTGCCGAGGAAGGGCAGGCGCCAAGGCCCTGGCGGGTAGTTCTTTGGTCGCCGGCTTTTGAGGAAGTCAGCGAAGAGCAGAAAAGTGACAGCACCCAGCAGGAGGGTCTGGGGATGGAGCACTGCCCAGAGGACGGCCCCCAGGAAGCCCATCGCCAGGAGCAGGCCAGGGATGACGCGAGCTCTTCTGTGGCCTGAGAAGCTGACGGATCCTGCCTTCCGCCGCTCCAGCAGTTAAGCACCGCCCGTCCCAGCCCTCTGTCCCTTTCACTCTTGCACAACCTCCCAGCTCCCCGCCTCACCTCATTCTCCGCACCACCCCGCCCCATCCGCCCCCTGAGTCCGGCCTGTTGCCAGCACCCTTGCTCTCAACCCGGCACTCTTTTCAGCGCCCAGATCCAACCTGCCCCTCTTTTCCCAGCCCTGTCCTAACCCCGCCCTTCCGCTCAGACCCCTCATCCTAACCCCGACGCTCCCCTCAGAGTCCTTTCCTAACCCCGACCCTCTACTCAGACCCATCGCCCTAACCTCGAGGGTCCCCTCAGAGTCCGGTCCTAACCCCGCGACTCTCCTCACCACCCCCCATCCTAACCCCGCCCCTCCCCTCAGAGTGCCGGCCTAACCCCGCCCCTCCCCTCAGAGTGCCGGCCTAACCCCGCGACTCTCCTCAACTCCCGCCTCCTAACCCCGTCCCTCCCCTCAGAACCCCGTCCTAACCCCGACCCTCCCCTCAGCGTCCCGGCCTAACCCGCCCCTCCCCTCAGAGTCTCGGCCTATCCCCGACCCTCTCCTCAGAGTCTCGGCCTATCCCCGCCCCTCCCCTCAGAGCCCCTTCCTAACCCCGCCCCTCCCATCAGAGTCCCGTCCTAACCCCGCCCCTCCCCTCAGAGCCCCGTCCTATCCCCGCCCCTCCCCTCAGAGCCCCTTCCTAACCCC